ATCTATCTATCTATCTATCTATCTATCTATCTATCTATCTATCTATCAGCTGTCTATCTATCTATCATATATTTAATCTATCATCTATCATTTACCTATCATCTATCTTTCTATCATCTATCCATACATCTATCTATCTATCTACCTATCTATCTATCCATCCATCAGTTTTTGAGACAGGGGTATGGCTATGTGTATTCTAGCCCAAAACTTCTGTATTTTTATGACTTCCTATGATTATATTGGGCCACCCTGGTAATCTAAGATGAGCTCACCTCAGCAATCCTTAATCACATCTGTGGACTTTCCTGTCATATTGTATTCCAGGTTCTAGAAATAAGGACATGGACATCATTGGGACCTTGTTCTGGCTACCACACCGTTTAGCTACTTAACTTATACACACAGTTCTCAGCCTCTATTCCTGTTTCCCTAGTTAGTGCTTAGGGGGTACAATTACTTGTGTGATTCTTATGAGGGTTTGATATGACATTCACTTGAGATTGTAAAATTCAGAAAAGTGACTTATGTTGTTCTTGATATTTTCTGTGTCTACAACTTTTGCTCCATAAACATTTGACCGCTGAAAGTTGCAAGTGATTTCACTGTGCCATATACGATCACCATAATGGATTACCACAGGGTCAGAGCAATGGGACCAACTAATCACACATTGAAATTGATCACTTTTCACAAGGCTCGACTTTTTGCCACTTCCCCATTAGAATTTCCGGATGACATTTAAATCACAACAGATGAAAACTGTACACTGCTGTCTCAGGATATATACATATGGGATTGTTTCTCTTATTTTTTTTTTTGAGTCTCAGAAGTAGCAGCCACCACCCCCCATTAGGACAGTTGTCACCAGAACTGGAATTATGTAGTGGTGTGTATCTGTAGTTGCAGCTACTTTGTAGGTTCAAACAGTACAATTACTTGAGCTCAGGAGTTCAAAGCCACTCTGGACAACATGGTGAACTCCCACTTAGTTTGCTTTTAAACACACACACCCCAAAACCAAGAAAAGAAGAAAAAGTGCTGTTCACTGTTGTCAGAGACAAATAGAATTTGGTTTTTCAAAAATTCAATATGAAGGGGCTGGGGTGCAGCTTAGTCATAGAGCAAATGATTGCTGTCTATGAAGACGTACTCTGGCTTAACATGGACATACCATTTAACCCAGCAATTTCACACACACAACACGCACACCACACACATGCACACACATCACACACACACACCACGCACACACACTGCACACACACACCACACACACCAATATACACACATGCACACCACACACACACCAATATACACACATGCACACCACACACATGCACACACACATGCACACAACGCACACACACACCACACACATACATACACCATGCACACAAACCACACACACATGCACAAGACACACACACGCATACCACATACATACACACCACACACACACACACACACACACACACACACACACACACACACATGACAGACACACACCAAAGAAGTGAAAATAGAAACTCAGATAGCTGTAAATACATGTTCACAACAGTACTACTCATGGTAACAAAAAGATAGAAACAATCTAAATTTCTATTGGTGGGTGTTTGAAGGAGCATAATAGGGCTTGTCCATATGATGGTATATTACACAACCATGAAAAACTCGCTAAGTGAAAAACACTATACGCAAAGCCATTCAGTTTATTATCATCTGTGTGAATATCCAGAATAGACAACTCCACAGAATAAAATGTATCAGTGGCTCTCAGGGCCAGCAGGGATGGTAGTGAGTGCTAATGGGAACAAACTCTTCTTTTGTGATGATCAAAATGTCCTGGAATTAGATAGTCGTGATGGCTGAACAACACTGCACATGTGCAAAGCATCTCTGAACTTCTCACTTTCAAATAACAAATTTTACGTGATGTGAATTTCACCTCAACTGAAAATATAACAATGTAAACCCAACAACCTCCTCACCGACACAGAACTATTCACAGTACAGAAGTTGATCTGGTCCTTTCCGCTGGGCAGGCGTGCGACCGTCTGACCTGTGGTGTGTGGCAGGCATGTGACCGTCTGACCTGTGGCAACCTCTCTTCTGTTCTCTCCTAGCACCATGATGCTCTACCACATCATGGCCTGGGGCCTGGCTGTGCTGCTCTGCGTGGAGGGGGCGGTCATGCTCTACTACCCGTCCGTGTCCAGGTAAGCCAGTTCACCCCGTAATGTAGTGCTCGGATCTCTGGTCTATTGTATGTCTCTAACATGGAATGAAAAGCTGGATAGATGAATCCCACTGGAAAAGAATGAGGGACGGTAACTCAGTGGTAGAGAATTTTCCAACATGGTTAAGGCGTTGAGATCCACCCCTCCCTGCGAACGGAGATATTTATAAAACCTCAGGGCCTGAGGATGACCACTGTAAATTTAAGTGGAAAACAGAGAAGTAGACAGTATCTCTGTGATTTTAGGAATGTGTCTACTGGGGCTCAGCACAGCACGGCCCTCCTGATCAATCCTACCCTTTGCCTGTGTTTGTTAATAAAGTTTTATCGGAACACAAACTTGTTTGTGTGCAGCCCACTGCCACCTTTGTTTGACAGACATAGGGTTCAGAGCTGCCACAGAGACCACGAAGCTGAAATATACGAACCATCTACTTCTATATGGGAGAAGTTTGCTGACCCATAGCGTAGAACATTTTTGACGACTCTCAGTTTCTTTGTTAGATGTCTGTCTCCACTTTGGTATTGCCTTGTCTATGAATCATTTTCTGTGACTGTGAATAAATACTGTGACTCAAGGTAACTTAAGGAAGAGAGAGTTTATTTGGGCTTGCACTTCCAGAGAGATGAAAAGTCCTTCGTGACAGGGAGGCGTGGCAGCAAGTGGTAGTCATGATTGCATGATCAGGAAGCTAAGAGATCATGTCTTCGACCACAAACACAGAACAAAGAGAGTGACCTGAAGGCTTCTTCAAATACCTGAGCCTGTTGGGAACATTCCTCATTTGAGCAATTGCAACCTGACAACTAGGAGTCTTCTCAGGGAACTCTGTGCCGGCATGCTCTATACTCCGTTTTCTGGAAAGCTTATAAAGAACAGACAACAGTGTTACCGCAGTCACAGTAGAGCACGCTTAACTGGAAAGCCCTTTCTTTTCTCCCTTTCTTTTCTCATGTCTTCCCCTCCAGGACCTGTAAATTCCCAGAAAAAAAAATTGAGCCCAAGACTTCCATTGATTTGGGGCTTGAAAGGAGGCCCCAGGTGCTCAGATGCCTTTGGTTAAGCTTGGATTTAAAGTCTCCATACATGATTATCTCTTAGTCCTGTGCTACCCATTTTCTGGAAGCCTGGGCCTTCTTTATGTATATCCTCACTCTCATCAGTCACTTTCTTTCTGCCTTTCTGTCAGAATTACTCTTCTCTGCCTTCTCGTGTCCCTAACTGACCTGGAATTTTTCCAGACCACATTGATCCTTCAAACCTGAAGTAGTACATTATTTCTCTAGGAGTCATCATAGTGGCTCATTGGCCTCTTTGTGCCTGAGCTGTCCCATGGCCTTGTTGGCCTTCGTTTATTAATTAACAGCCATTTTTCTCCTCTTAAATCATGTATGTTTTAGTTGAAGTTCTTGCCTTTTTTAGATTAAAAAATAATGTATTTATACAAATGTTTTGCCTGCATGTATGTACGTGCATCATGTATGTGTGTGCCTGGTGCTGGAGGAGGTGTGAAGAGGGCACAGGAACTCTGATGATTATGATGTGTGGGTGCTGGTACTGAGCCCAGGTCCTTGTCAAGAACAGCAAGTGCCGTCAACCTCTAAGCCGTTCCTCAGTTCCAGGTTCTATATTTGCCTCATGAGTGCATGACCTTTCACTGCATCCTAAGGTGACCGATGATTTTCATGATTAATTTGTAGAAATCCACATTAGTTGCCCTAAAAATAACTGCTGAGACTTCGTTATTCATGATAATGACAACATTTCATTTTAAATCTTTTTTGGAGGCAGGGTCTCTCTAGTCTATAGAACTCTGGCTGCCCTGGAACTCACTGTGTAGACCAGAATGGCCTCAAACACAGAGACGCCACTGCCTCCGTCTTCTGAGTGCTGGGATTAAAGGCATGCACCACCACACCCAGATTTTTTCACATCTTAAACTTCTATCTTCTGAGACTCTGTGTTGCTCAAGGAGAGGGAGTGGATCGTATTCAAGTTCCTGGGCAAGGCCACATAGCAAGTACTCGATGTCCAGTACTTAAATGGGTTTCTTTGTCTCCCCTTCCACTTGGACTGTGTGTGTGTGTGTGTGTGTGTGTGTGTGTGTGTTTTCTTGAAGGGACCCAAAGCAGAGAATCTACCACTCCAGAAAACTTTTTCCATCCTGTACTTTCCCAGAGGCCTTTAAAAGGTTCCCCCAGTGAAATGCTCCATCATTCCTCCCATATATGAGAACTTGACCTCTTATCCTAATTTCCAGGGAAGTGGGTCGTCTCAGCTAAAGCTTTTCTTTAAAGGAGAATGCTTTGGTATTCCTCTTTTCAGGTGTGAGAGAGGCCTGGACCATGCCATCCCCCATTATGTCACCACGTACCTGCCGCTAATGCTTGTCCTTGTGGCCAACCCTATCCTGTTTCACAAGACAGTGACTGCAGGTAAATCTTGGGATTGGGGGTTTACTCTTGTTATATGAATGCTGAGTACATTTTCATGCCTTGGAACTCACAGAAAAACAGCTGTTCTTTCTGCAATGACACACGACAACTGAACTTATTTATCGTTTTTCAAGACATGAACGAAATAGTTGGACAGAATGATCGTGTTTAATAAGTGAAAAGGGTTTTTGCTGGTATTTGCTCAGCTAAAGATCATCGGTTTTGGTTGAGGCTTCACTTTTGTGCCAGGCTCCTCCAGAGTCTGCCTTTAGTCTGGAGGGCCTGAGGGTGATTTTGTAAAACTGTCAAGGTCACTTAGGTAGAGGAAGAGGCAGATAAGAGAAGGGATGAGGTTTGGATTCAGAGTCTGGTCATCCCTAGGCAGTCACTTGACCTATGCATTTTTCCACAAGGACAGGAAACAGGAAATGGAACACAGGAAACAAGTCCATTGCAGTGTTAAAAACTGGCTGAGAGGAAGATAGTGAGTCAGCAGAGGGATACATCTCTTACAGCTAGGACTAGGGGCCTGCGTCTCATCCCTTCCACCTCCTCAAGTGACCATGGCTCAAAGCGAGTGTCCATTGGTATCCATGTTTCTGTGCCTCTCTTGGGTAGAATGTGAATTAAGGTATTTGCACATTGGTCTTCACAGAAAGGTCACTTAAGAATCAGCAGTTGTTGGTAGAAACTTCTAAAGAGTGTTTAAAGTCTCTATCACTAGTGATAAACTGTTGATATGTTTGATGCATCTTTTCCTATCTGCTTTTAAATATAGTGCATTAAATACTATACTTTTTATGCTATAGTCTCAACTCTTGGTTGAACTGAAAATACTAATTTATTTACTATATTTATGTGTATGTGTGTGCCTACCTGAGTTTATGTGCATCACATGCATATAGAGGTCAAAAGAGGGCATCAGGTTCTCTGAAGGGTGTGAGCTGTCATGTGGTTACTGGGAACCAAACTCCAGTCTTCTGAAAGGGCAGAAAGTGTTTTTAATCATTGAAGCATCTCTCCAGCCCTTGCTTGTAGAATTAAAAAAAATGTAAAAGTCTATTATTATTCCAGACACAGAGAGACAACTATCACATGTTCTCACTCATAAATGGTTTTAAAACATAAAGCACAGAAAATCAGCCCATAAACCACAATCCCAGAGAACCTAGACAACAATGAGGACACTAAGAGAGACTTACATAGATCTAATCTACATGGGAAGTAGAAAAAGACAAGATTTCCTGAGTAGATTGGGAGCATGGAGACCAGGGGGGAGGGTTGATGGGGGGAGGAAAGGCAGGGAGGGGAGCAGAGAAAAATGTAGAGCTCAATAAAAATCAATAAAAAATAGATATAAACAAAACAGAACAAAAGTCTAGTAGTAGTAGTAGGAATTTATTGTCTTAGGAAAAAATTTTCTTATCTGCATTTAAATATAGGTGTTTGTTTTAAAAGTTTCATACAAGTGTCTTTTGTTAAAGTAGTAGAAATGTCTTGGCCAAACATTACACTGTTCCAGTGGTTATATCTGTGCAGTGGAACCATGGATCATTAATTATCTAAATATATATTTTAACTTGTCTGTGAGGAGAATTGTTAACTTTTTCAATATTCTTTTTTAGTTTTTATTACTTTATAAATAATACCAATGAAAATTTCCATTTCCTCAATTCCTCCCACTTCCCTCCTGCTCCCCCCATCTTGCTCACCCCTCCGCCTCCAGTCCTAAGAGAGGGCAAGGTACCCTGCCCTGTGGGAAGTATAAGACCCTCCCCCTTTCATCCAGGCTTAGGAAGGTATGCATCCAAACAGAATAGGATCCCAAAAAGCCAGTACATGCAATAGAGACAAATCCCAGTGCCATTATCATTGACTTCTCAGTCTGGCCCAATTGTCAGCCACATTCAGAGGGTCCAGTTTGATGCTATGGTCGTTCAGTCCCAGTCCAGCTGGCTTTGGTGAGCTCCCATTAGATCAGGCTCACTGTCTCAGTGGGTGGACTAACCCTTCGTGGTCCTGACTTCCTTGCTCATATTTTCCCTCCTTCTGTTTTTCAACTGGACCTTGGAAGCTCAGTCGAGTGCTCCCATGTGGATCCCTGTCTCTATCACAATCTCTTGACAGACAAAGGTTCTATGGTTATATTCAAGATAGTCATCGGTCTATGTGACAAGGCCAGTTCAGGAACCCTCTCCTCCACTGCCCAGGGTCCTAGCTGAGGTCATCCCCATGGATTTCTGAGAACCCCTCCAGAGCCAAGCCTCTTGCCAACCCCAAAAATGGCTCCATCAACTGAGATATCTACTTCCCTGCTCCCATAGCCATCCTTCCTCCATCTCAACCATCCCACTCCCCCAAGCTCTTTCCAATCCTCCCCTTCTCCCCTCTCTCTTCCCCTTCTTCCCTTTCTCTCACCCTCACCCCCATGCTCACAACTTTTGCCTGGCGATCTTGTCTGCTTCCAATTTCCAAGAGGATCTGTATATCTTTTTCTTTATGTTCACCTTATTACTTAGCTTCTCTAGGATCACAAACTGTAGGCTCAATGTCCTTTATTTATGGCTAGAATCCACTTATGAGTGAGTACATACCATATTCATATTTTTGGATCAGGGTTATCTCACTCAGGATAGTTATTTCTACTTCCATCCACTTGCATGAAAAATTCAAGATGTCATTGTTTTTTTTTTACCACTGAGTAGTAGTCTAGTGTGTAGATGTACCACACTTTCTTTATCCACTCTTCTATTGAGGGGTATCTAAGTTGTTTCCAGGTTCTGGCTATTACAAATAATGCTGCTATGAACATAGCTGAACAAATGTTTTTGTAGTATGATTAGGCATCTCTTAGGTATATTCCCAAAACTGGTATATCTGGATCCTGAGGTAGGTTGGCTCCCAATTTTCTGAGAAACTGCAGTAGTGATTTCAAAAGTGGATGCACAAGTTTGCATTCCCACCAGAAATGGATGAGTGTTCCCTTTACTCCACATCGTCTAGGTTATCATTGGTGTTTTTGAATTTAGTTATCCTGATAGATGTACGATGGTATCTCAAAGTTGTTTTGATTTGCATTTCTCTGATAGCTAAGGAAGTTGAATATGTCCTTAGATATATTTTGGCCATTTGAACTTCTTCTATTGAGAATTTTCTGTTCAGCTCAGTATCCCATTTTTTGATTGGGTTATTTAAAATTTTAATGTCTAGAGTCTTGAGTTCTTCATATATTTTGGAGATCAGACCTTCGTCTGATGTGGGGTTGGTGAAGACCTTCTCCTATTCAATCGGTTGCCTTTTTGTCTTAATGACTGTGTCCTTTGCTTTACAGAAGCATCACACCTTCAGGAAATCCCATTTATTCATTGTTGTTCTTATTGTCTGTGCTACTGGGGTTATTTGTAGGAGATGGTCTCCTGTGCCCATGTATTGTAGGCTATTTTCCACGTTCTCTTCTATCAGGTTTGGTGTGCTTGGATTTATATTGAGGTCTTTAATCCATTTGGACTTGAGTTTTGTACATGGTGATAGGTATGGATCTATTTTCATTCTTCTACAGGTTGACATCCAGTTATACCAGGACCATTTGTTAAAGATGCTTTCTTTCTTCCATTGTATAATTTTATTTATTTTGGCAAAAATCAGGTGTTCATAAGTAAGTGGAATAATATCCAGGTCTTTAATTTGATTCCATTTTTCAATGTCTCTGTTTTTATGCCAATACCAAGCTGTTTTCATTACTGTAGCTCTCTAATACAGTTTGATATCAGGGATGGTAATGCCTCCAGAAGTTCCTTTATTGTATAGGATTGTTTTGGCTATTCTGGGTTTTTTTGCCATATAAAGTTAATTATTGTTCTCTCAAGGTCTGTGAAGAATTTTGTTGGGATTTTGATGGGGATTGCATTGAATCTATAGATTGTCTTTGGTAGAACTGTCATTTTTACTACGTTGATCCTACGAATCCAAGAGCATGGGAGATCTTTCCATTTTCTGGTATCCTCTTCAATTTCTTTCTTCAAAGACTTAAAGTTCTTGTCAAATAGATCTTTCACTTCCTTGGTTAGTGTTACCCCAAGATACTTTATGGCAATTGTGGCTATTGTGAAAGGTGATGTTTATCTGATTTCCCTCTTAGCTTATTTATTCTTTGTGTATAAGAGGGCTACTGATTTTTTTGAGTTGATCTTGTATCCTGCCACATCTCTGAAGGTATTTATCAGCTGTAGGAGTTCTCTGGTAGAGTTTTTTTTGGGTCACTTATGTACACTATCATATCATCTGCAAATAATGAAAGTTTGACTTCTTCCTTCCCAATTCGAAACCCCTTGATCTCCTTATGTTTTCTTATTGCTATTGCTAGAACTTCAAGCACTATGTTGAAGAGATATGGAGAGAGTGGACAGCCTTGTCTTGTTCCTGATTTTAGTGGAATGACTTTGAGTTTCTCTCCATTTTATTTAATGTTATCTCTTGGCTTCCCTAATCACTCAAAGACCTTTATCATAAAGGGGTGTTGAATTTTGTCAAATGCTTTTTCAGCATCCAATGAAATGATCATATGGTTTTTTTTCTTTCAGTTTATTTATATGATGGATTACATTGATAGATTTGCGTATGTTGAACCAGCCCTGCATCTCTGAGATGAAGCCTACTTGATCATAATGAATAATTTTTAAATGTGTTCTTGGATTAGGTTTGCCAGTATTTTATTGAGAATTTTTGCATTGATGCTAATGAGTGAGATGGTTTGTAATTCTCATTCTTGGTTGAGTCTTTGTGTGGTTTTGGTATCAGGGTAACTGTAGCTTCATAAAAAGAGTTTGGCAATGACTCTTCTGTTTCTATTATGTGGAACACATTAAGGAGTATAGGTATTAGCTCTTCTTGGAAGTTCTGGTAGAATTCTGCACTAAAACCATATAGCCCTGAGCTTTTTTTTTTTTTTTTTTTTTTTTTTTTTTTTTTTTTTTTTTTTTTTGGTTGGGAGGTTTTTTAAGACAGTTTCTATTTCCTCGCAACTTTTCGGCCTATTTAAATTGTTCATCTGGTCTTGATTTAATTTTGTATATAGTATTTATCTTTAAAAAATGACCATTTCTTTTACATTTTCCAATTTTGTGACGTACAGGCTTTATAGTAAGACATAATGATTCTCTGAATTTCCTCAGTGTCTGTGGTTATGTCCCCCTTTTCAGCTCTTTGTTTCATTGATTCTTTGGATTGTTTTCTGTGTTTCTATTTTGTTGACTTCAGCCCTCAGTTTGATTATTTCCAGTCTACTACTCCTTTTTGGTGTGTCTGCTTTTTTTTCCAGAGCTTTCAGGTGTGCTCTTACATTTCCAATGTGAGCTTTCTTCATTTCCTTCATGTGAGCACTTAGTGCTATGAACCTCTTAGCTTTGCTTTCATAGTGTCCCATAGGTTTGGGTATGTTGTGTCTTCATTTTCGTTGAATTCAGGGAAGACTTTAATTTCTTTCTTTATTTCTTCCTTAACCCAGGGGTGGTTCAGTAGTTGACTGTTCAGTTTCCATGAGTTTGTGGACTTTCTCGGGGGTGGTATTGTTGTTAAATTCTAACTTGACTCAGTGGTGATCCGGTAAGACACAGGTGGTCACTCTAATTTTTTGTGTCTATGGATGTTTGTTTTGTTACCGAGTATGTGATCAATGTTTGAGAAGGTTCCATGAGGTGCTGAGAAGAAGTTATATTCATTCCTATTTGGGTGAAATGTTCTATAAATGTCTGTTATGTCCATTTGATTAATTTTATATTTTAGTCCTCTTATTTTTCTGTTAAGTTTCTGTCTGGTTGACCTATCTATTGGTAAGAGAGGAGTGTTGAAATATCCTATTATTATTGTGTGGGGTTTGATGTGTGATTTGAATTTTAGTTATGTTTCTTTTACCTATGTGGGTGCTTTTTCAATATTCTGAAATATTAAGTGTACATTATTTTAGAATGGACAAAACAAGCCTTTAAATCACAGTACTTGAATGAATTACTAATAAAATCAAGATTTCTGTTAAAAAATGATCAGTGTTAAATTTAAAGTTGTGACAAAAGACCTGCATTTGTGTATGATGTTAGCAGCAAGAGAAGCTAGAAGGGCCTATAGGTTTGCAGCAATTCTCTGAGCTCAGTCAGTTAAGTTGAAACAAAGCTCAGGTGTATAGCACTTTCCTAGCATGCATGAGTCCCTAGGTATCATTCCCAGTATCACACAAAGTGTAAGTTTCTATGTATGTGTGTGTATGTGTACATGTACATGTGTATATGTCTGCATGCCTTGGTATCTATGAGTACTCCAGGTACAACACTGTGATAACTGTCAGCGATGGATTTGCCTCATGCTCTTCTAGCTATGTGTAATAGTTTGTATCTGCTTTGATTTTCTTCTCTATTATGAGTTAATGTAAGTTATGAGTGTTGTCTGACATTCCTTTACACTCCTACAGTGGCCTCTTTACTGAAAGGAAGAAAAGGTGTTTACACGGAGAATGAGAGGCTGATGGGAGCCGTGATCAAGAGCCGGTTTTTCAAAATAATGCTGGTGTTGATTGCATGGTAACCTTTCTTCTAGTATTTTTGTTGTTGGTTGTGCTAGTTGGAAGGATCTGCCAACTTGTCATTTTACTTTTCCAAATGTGACTTGCATGTTCCAAAGGAAATCATCTGGAAGGGAAATCTCTCAGACAATGCAATGCATCCCCTAAAGGAATGAACAAAACACAGGTCAACAAGTCCAGAACTCATGTATTTTTTTTTAAAAAAAAAAAAGAAAAACCTTTATAACAATTATTTATCAAACCCTGAGAATAAGAAGATAACTGTTCAAGTTTTTTTATTTCTTTTTCTAAAGACAGACTCCGCCAGTTTTTCTTCTCCTTTTCTATTTTCTTATTGTTTTGAGACAATGTCTCACCACATACCCCTGGCTGACCCCTGTGGTTTCCCTGCCTCTGTCTTCCAGGTGCTGGGTTTGCAGACATTAACCATCATACCCAGCTATGGGTTCAGTTTTCAAATATTTAAGGCTTATGCACCTGGCATTTCATCTCGTTGCTGGGCTGACCAAAGAAAGGGGCAGTGATGTTTTTATCTTATGTAAATATAAGTATTTTGCTTGTGTGGAAGCAGATGTTCCATGTGTGTGTTTGGTGCCCATGGAGACCAGAAGAGTATGCCCAGATCTCCCTGAAGTTAGCTTTTTTGTTTGTTTTTTTTTTTGTTTTTTGTTTTTGTTTTTAAGACAGGGACAGGGTCTCATGTCTCATGAGCTGCTCCAGTTAGCCTGGAACTCACAGTGTTATGCCTGCTCTGGAACACTGGAGTTAAAACATGTGCCACTGTGCCCAGCAGGTACAGAATTTGTGAACTACCGTGTGAGTGCTGGGAACTGAACCCACATCCTCTGCGAGAACAGCAAGTGATTCTCTGCCCTGGCCTAGTTTTATGAGCGTGCCCATCTATCTTATTCTTGTCCTCACAATTCCTGTGTCTTTAGAGAAAAGGGCCAGAACACATCTTCAGTGTAAAGACCCAGCTCGCTGGATGGTAGAGAAAAAACTGGGCAACCATCCGCTTTTGTGGTCCCCATTGCACAAACATTTCTGGTTGATGCTTTAAAAACATCTAACAAAGCTTATGTAAAAAGATTGCGATCCAGGCTGTAATGAATCAGTACCATACAGAACACGGCAACTCTCCATGGTATTAATTCCCCCGGCAGGAGGACATTTCTTTAAACGCCTTTCAAGCGAGGCCGACGTTAACTACTGCTTGTCATACATTCACCTTGTTATTTCACATCACAAGGACCCACTGAGACTGACATTTTAAAATTCCACACAAGGACTTATATTGAGTATTTTTCTGCTACTATGATAAAACATCATGTCAGAGGCAATTTATAGAAAGAAAGGTTTATTTGGAGCTTACATTTCTAGAAGGATAGGCGTTCATTACTCTCATAGCAGCAAGCATGGCAGCAGGCAGGTTGGCTCTGGGGCAGCAGCTCAGAGTTCACATCCTGATTCACAAAAAAAGAAGCAAAGATTCTCACTGAGAATGTTGTGGGCGTTTGAGACATCAGAACTCACTGAAAGTGATATTCCTTCTCCCACAAGGCCAGACCTCCTTACCCTTCCCAAATAATTCCATCAACTAGGGGTCAAGAGGCTATTCTCATTTAAACCAGCTCAGGACTGGTGAGGTGGCTCAGCAAGTGGAGATGCTGACACTCGGGTCTGACGATTTGATGTCTGCATCCTACAAAATGGTGGGAGAGAACAGACTCCAAGAGACGTCCTCCTACTGCACCCCAGCCCCGCCACAAGCACGCATGCACCGTCTCTCAGGGACACACAGATTCCTCATAAAATATCAAAATAGTATTTTGGTCTCCATCGAAAGTTTAGGTTACTTCTAAAAAAAAAAGAAGGAAGGAGGAAGGAGGAAGGAGGAAGGAAGGAAGGAAGGAAGGAAGGAAGGAAGGAAGGAAGGAAGGAAGGAGGGAGGGAGGAAGGGGAGAGGAAGGAAGAAAGAAGGGAGGAGGAGGGAAGGAAGGAGGAAGGAAGAAGAAAGGAAGGAAGGAGGGAGGGAGAAGGAAGGAAAGAGGAAGAATGAAAGAGGAAAAAAGGAAGTCTTTAGGTTACCTCTCTTATGGAGGATGATTTCTGGTTTGATACAGGGTTAAACTTTACACCTTGATGTGATGTGCAGTGTTTCCATAGGGAGAACCACTTGAAGTCTGTGTTAGACCAAGAGAAGGATTTGTGTCTCAACTAAAGTCTTGATGCCAACTCAACTCCTTCTTTCTAAAGTGGTCAAATTGCTACCAAAAACCAGTACACACAAACTGTAGTGAAAATCACGATGAATTTCACTGAGTGACATTTTCCTTCCATCAGTTGGTCATCCAATATCATCAACGAAAGTCTTTTGTTCTACCTTGAAATGCAACCAGATATCCACGGAGACTCTCTGAAACGCATCCAGAATGCAGCCAGGACCACATGGTTTATCATGGTAGGTCAATATAGCCTTATTTTTTTTTCTTCTCGTAAAAAAGGAAATCAATGTAAAAAACATTCAAAGTCCAGCGTGTAAACACATAATCAGTGGGAAGTTCTTGGGTGATCTCTTTCACCCCGCGCACTGTCAAGCTAGATCCAGTCATCACATTATTGAACAGGCTCAGGTCTGAGATGGAGCCTGGTGCTTGCATTCACAGGGCACTGTGTTTGATCTTCAGCACTGCAAAGTGAGTGAGTGAATGAATGAATGAATGGATGAATAAAAACGAGGCAATCTCTGCTAAGTCACTCGTGCCTAGAGTATGAAGCATTTGACGTTAACTCACAGGATCAAACTCTTACTCTTTTCTTTGCCTTTTTTTAAAATTAGATATTTTATTTTGCTTGTTTTTAAATTATATATTTTACTTTGCTTCTTTTTAAATTAGATAATTTATTTTGTGTGTCTGGGTGTTTCAGAGGAATGCCAGTTCACTGGGCAAACCAGAACAGCACTTATCACTATGGTAACCAAAGGCCGCCCCATTTCCCTTGACCTCCATGTGTCCTTCGCCCTCCTTCCCAGGGAATACTGAATCCGGCCCAAGGACTTCTCCTGTCTCTGGCCTTCTATGGCTGGACAGGATGCAACCTGGATGCCCATCCTCCCAAAATGGTGATGCAGTGGGAAGCAATGACTGCGTCTGCTGAGGATATGCACCAGTCCCCTGTGGGTTCCCGCGTGCCTCATGGAAACCCCAAGAAAGTGGCTTGTGCTGGGGGACACACTTCTGATGAGGTGATGAGCGTTCTGTCTGAAGGTAATGCATTAAGCAGGGTGGTGCATTTCCTCTTCCACATCTTTTCATTTTTATGTATTTATCTACCCCTCTTAGAAATCTCTTACATTTTACCTGCATGTATGTCTGTGAACCACATGTGTACCTGGTGCCCATGGAAACCGAAAGGTGGGGTCAGATCCCCTGGAACTGGAGTTCTGGGTGGTTGTGAGCTGCTGTGTGATGCTGGGTACTGAACACAATTTTTCTAAGAGAACAGCCAGTGCTCTTAACCATTACACCTTTCCTTAATTTCTAACTTTATTTATTTTTAAAACAGAATCTTACTCTGAAACAAAGGGTTGTCTATAACATCCAGTCCTCCTGCCTCAGCTGTTTGGATGGTATTAGAGGAATAGACCACCGTGCCCAGCTAACTGGCTGCAATAATTTCCTGGCAGTCTAAGGGAAAAGGTTTAAAAACACTCAGTGGCTTAGTTCCCACATGTAAATTGGGATACCCACAGTCACCTGTAATTCCAGGTCCAGGAGAGCTAATGCCCTCTTGTGGTCTGGGTGGGCACATAAACACATGTACTCAAAGATACATATAAATAAAAATAAATCTAAGCGACAGCAAACCTACTCAGGTTCATCAGAACAATCCTGCATATTCTCAGTTGGTCCACAGAGAATGGGGAGAAACAACTGATATTAGCTCACTAGAGTGTGACAACAAAAACTCTTTACACATCAATAAATGTCTTCTGTGGGCATAGTGTCCCCTGAGTCAGAAAACGTCTGCTTTGCATTTTGAACATAATGTTTGGGGCACAAAAACATCCATGTACACACCCACGTGCACACACACATATACACACACACAGAGACACACACACCACACACACACAGACACACACACACAAACCACACATACCATACACACACATACCACACGTGCACACACACACACTCACACACACACACGCTTGCACACACACACACACACATGCACACATACAAATACGCACACGCACACACACACACGTCCAATGACAACACACAGCACAGCCCCAACAAAATACTTTGCCTTGTATCAAACTAGTGGGAGGAGTATTTTAAGGAAAGATGTGTAGAATTGGCTAGAGGAGTTCTAGCTTCTTTCCCTTTTCTGCTTTTTAAATACACGGAAAGAGGTTCATTCTTGGGACAAGTCTGACCGAGAAAACGTGTAGATAAACCCATGACCTGATCTCCCCAAGGTACTAATATATAGTTGTACTGGGGAGCCCTAGAAGAAACAGAGAAGCCCTTCTGGCTGGACCAACAAGATGGAGAAACCTTGTGTTTGGGGACTTTTTCTTTGTCTGTTCTGGAATGGAACTCAGGATTTCATCCATGCTGGGCTATTTCTGCAACCCCAGTCACACCCCAGCCCACAGGCTTCTGATACAACCCAGTAGTTCACGAAGGACAGGGACGTACAAGTTCAAATCACTGTTAACATGCCAAGTTACTGGTATGACTTGGGGAGGGAGGCAAAAAGTTGCATCTAGAATTAGTTGTATGTGTTTGAATTCCCATGCTGAAAGCTCAAAACAACTGAGCCATTTTGACACTATAATAAAATCCTACAGTAACAATAAACCCCACTATATCTTGTTCCTGCACCCTACCTCTCCTGCCTAGAACAGCATTAACAGGGCTCTCCTTGTTTCTGTTTCTTCCAACTAGGTGTTGCCCTGGACTGTCACTCAGAGACCGGAAGTGTTCGAAGTTTTTAAAAATGAATGAAGGTCCAATGGGAAAATAAAAAAGACCATTTTTCTAGTTTTTCTATGCATATGAATGTTCTGCACATTTCCTATGAATCACATTATGCAATATTTGCCCTTTTCTGTCTGACTTCTTAGCCTAAAATCTTGAAAGTTCATTCAGCAGCAAACATCACCACACAGTTCTTTTAGCTGAGTAATATTTTATTTTTTTTATTGATTTTTATTGAGCTCTACATTTTTTTCTCTGATCCCCTCCCTGCCTCTCCCCTCCCCTTCAGTCCTTCCCCAAGGTCCCCATGCTCCCAATTTACTCAGGAGAACTTGTCTTTTTCTAATTCCCATGTAGATTAGATCCACATATGTCTCAGGGGCCTCATTGTTGTCTAAGTTTTCTAGGATTGTGGTTTGTAGGCTGGTTTTCTCTGCTTTATGTTTAAAAACAATATTTTATTTTTAACAACTCCCGTTGACTGTAAAGAACTCCAGCAGACCATGCATTAGGAATGGTGTTGTGCCTTTGCAGCAGTGACTGTAAACACTGCCCTCATAGTTTATCGGACACATTTAAAACAGTTCAAATTATTCTTATATTGAATTAATGGAACAATCATTGAAAATACTGATTTGAGGAAAGGGTTGGAGGAACAGGAAAGCAAATGAAAGCAAAATAATTCCTGGTGTGGGACAATGATCTATATTCTGTCAATTATATTTTAAATAAACACTGATTGGACAGTATACAGACAGGAATTATAGGCAGGACAACCTGACAGGAAGTAGAGGTGGGTCAATGAGAACAGGAGAATCCTGGGAAGAAGGAAGTCCTAGTGTGTAATTGTGACCCAGCCACAAAGGAAACAAGAATGTGACCACCTTACCAAATAAGGTACTGAACCATGTGGCTAGCATAGACAAGAATAATGGACTAATATAAGTTATAAGAGTTAATAAGAAGCCTGAGCTAATGGGCCAATCAGTTTATGATTAATGTAAACTTTTGTGTGATTTCTTTGGGACTTAACAATTGCAGGAACTGGGCAGGACAGAAACTCAGACAACAAATGGTGCTCACGTGGACAACTGATCCACATAAAGTCTGAGAAAGCTTGGGGAGTAATTCTAGACATAAAATAATAGAGTTAACCATGGCTTATTAATAGCAGCTCTTTCTTGAGTGGGCTCTGCTTGCTAGAGGCAAGCACCCTCATTTAAGAGAGGCTTCCTGACTCAGCTTTAGCTGTAAAACCTTGCAGCTCTTTTAAGAAGTCCTGCCACGAAATACCTAAATGGTGTTGATAAAAACGTGACCACATGCTTTTTGGTTTTCAGCTGTAGCAGGGAAAAAGCCACACTGCTTTAAAATGCCAGCTTTCTGGGTCATCCTGCCAATGCAAACTCGGACTCTTTCAGGCAGAAGGCCTGGCTACAGAGCATTTGACTGTAGTTTGTGAGCAGACTGCTGCAGCTTGCTTGGTGGCAGGGACCTCAAAACACCATAGAGTTGTGGCAATAAACATGGCTATAAATGTGGCTACAGCCGGTACTTCCCCCATTGTCCCATGCTATCGTCTCGCCAGCAAGAACCATGCGGGACACTAGGATCTTTTTGCAGAAATAGCTTTAATGTGTCCTGAGAGAGAGCACATCAGCTAACATGGCCGGGGACCCAGATATGAAGGAACCCATCCCTTATATAGGAAACAGTCCTTGCTTTGGACGTGTCATTCTTGGATTGGTCTGTTGCCCATAATCCCAGATGATGCCTTGGGAGTAGGCGGGGACAACAATGGAAAGTTACCTAGCACATGTGCGTTCACCTGGCGGTGAAACCGAATGTCAGTGCCATCTTGTAATGGGGCATATGGATGCGGCCCTTCACACCCCATGAGGCTAGAAACTCAGAAAACTAAAGACTGTGCTGGATCCAGCCATCAAAACCACAGCTTTAATTCTAGCCATATTGCCTAGCAAATTAAAGACTCATGTGGTCAGAAAAAGAGAGATAGACAGTAGAGGAGATACACAGTAAAGAGAGAGTCAAAGATGAAGAAAACCTCTTAATGTTTTACAGTGTGCTAAAAATATATGCAGGCTTGGGAGAGAAAAGAAAAGTGTTAAAGTCCTTAAAAAAGAAAAAAAAAGAGAGTAGTTGGGTGTGGTAGCACACACCTTTAATCCCAACACTTGGGAGACAGAGGCAGGCAGATCTCTGTGAGTTCAAGGACAACCTGATCTACAGAGGGAGTTCTAGGACAGTCAAAGATACACAGAGAATCTGACTCAAAAGGCCAAAAATTAAAAGTAAAAATAAAGAAATAGAAATTAAAATAAAGCCACATAAAGATGAAAAATATGCAGAGAGTCTGGATATTGTATGTTATTATGCTCTTTTTGAATTGTTTGAATGCTGAGGAAGAAGCAACAGCTGCTAAAAGATATAAATACTGATGAACTAATCCAAGATAGGTATTTTACAAATACCTTGACTTCAAAATTGAAATCAAAAGATATGTTACTTTGGAGAAGAGGTTTTGCTTTTGTTTCCACAGAAAATGAGAGGCTATGGATTTATTCTGAGTTAAGAAAAATCAGGTTTGGGGGCTGGAGAGATGGCTCAGTGGTTAAGAGCACTGACTGCTCTTCCAAAGGTCCTGAGTTCAATTCCCAGCAACCACATGGTGGCTCACAACCATCTGTAATGAAGTCTGGTGCCCTCTTCTGGCCTGTAGACATACACGCAGAAAGAATATTGTATATATAATAAATAAATAAATATTTTAAAAAAAAGAAAAAAGAAAAATCAGGTTTGATCAAGGAAGACCACCTGAGAAATCTCCAGTAGGAACAGATGACCCAGATGTCTGAGTTCTACATCCAGAACAGATTCAAGATGCTACCTGAGATGATCAAGCTTCACAGGATAATCCAGTCAGGACTTGATCATAATTCTAAATTTTCTTTATGTCCCCATAAGATTATCAGTGCCCCCAACAAACAGGAAGTAGCCTGGAGAACTATGCCTACATTCCCAAAACATGGACTATGGATATTTTGCTTTGTTTAGAATGTTGGTTGCAAGTTGTTATGACTAATGGTCAGGAGAAAAGCTAAACAAAGGATATTAGATTCAGAGTTCTTGTTTTTTTAAAAAAAAAACGAGGGGGAAATGCTGTAAGATAATGGTCTGTATCCTATCAATTATATTTTAAATAAACGCTGATTGGCCAGTAGTCAGGCAGGAAGTATAGGTGGGACAATCACTCAGGAAATAGAGGTGGGTCAATGAGAACAAGAGAATTCTGGGAGGAAGGAAGTCCTTTTGGGCATCCTGTCCTAGCTGCAGAAGAAGCAAGATGTGACTGCCTCACTGAATAAGGTTCTGAGCCACATGGCTAACACAAATAAGAATAATGGGCTAATATAAGTTGTAAAAGTTAATAAGAAGCCTGAGATACTAGACCAATCAGTTTATAACTAATGTAGACCTCTGTGTGATTTCTTTGGGCCTTAACAACTGCGGGGACCAGGCAGGACAGAAACCTCGGACAACACATCAGGGGAGGGGTAGTACTGTGAGTGAGGTGGCAGGACTGATGGTGAGGGGCTGGGCAACTGGTGAAGAACAAGGCAGGACTGATTGAAGAAATGTGCCAAATGGTGTGACTGAGGTTGGGGCTGAGGGAAGGGGCGGGTCAGAAGGTTAGTGGAGGGCTAACTTTAGGTTCTGATGGTTAGGGTTGGAACTTTGGATGAGAGTCTGGCCTGAGTGTATCAGGGCAGGATGTTGTGGTGTGTTGCCAGTCTGAGGGTCAGGAGAAAGGCAGTAGGTAAAGCTCATGACTGATTGTGAGTGGTTGGGGCTAAGAGTGAGGGAGCTGTGGAAGGAAAGTGATGGGTGGGGCTGAGCAGTGAGTAGACAGGATATGCATAGAAGTGAGGAGAAAGGACTATGGGGTGTTGGATCAGAACACTGCAGGATGGGACATAAGTCAACCTGAATTGAATTGTGATTAGGGGCATTAGAAGGGAACCCTGAAGAGGGGCTGAGTGGTTGCAGGTTGGGTTGTCTAATGAGCACAGAAAGAGGAGGGGGGCTTCGTTGTGAGAGTGTGGGAATGGGGAAAGCAGGTACATAAAGGGTGTGGCACATTTTGGTTACAGGGACAGGGGCAGGTGAGGGGCACATGCACTATCTGGACAACATTTGGGGAGGGTGACAGGGCAGGTCCACTGAAGGTGTCACATGTCAGGACATGACTGAGGAGGGGAGTTTCTGCCATGGGGGACATCAGAGCTGAGGTGTCCACTCTGACTTTACCATGATCCACACATACACCCTAACTAAATAGGATGGTGCAGAGGAGCAGGGTCACCTGCAATCTTGGGAATGCTGTTCTTTTAGAGTGCCATTCGCATCCAGGATACTACATGCTTGTTTGTGCCTCTGTTCACCTAGATGCAGGAAACATGAGAAACCTGGCTCCCTTTCATGTATTGTAGAAGGGAAGAAAGTATATGGGGTAGAGCTTAGCTTCTGGATTTACAACAGTCCAGGGAAGGTTATTTGACATAGGACAGGGGCTCTGGAGATGAGAGGCAACCCCTGGACCTGAGGCAGATTTCAGGTGTCACTTGAGAACCAAACAAGACAGGGACAGAGCCAGAAGTAGTCTTGTGTGTATTCTATCCTGTCCATGAATGGTCTCCCCTGTCATCCAACTGATCCTCCTGCTAGGCCACCAGGAAGTCATATTCCTCCACTTCATACTTTTTCCAGTCCTGCTCCAGGTTCATTGCGATCAGGTCTCTTTGTGATTGTGCAAGTGGTGGTGTAGCATCCAGACTGGGGGATGGAATAACAGGGAGGGTGGCCCCAAAGGGTGCTGAAGAAGAGAGACCCCAATGTCCACATGCAGGACTGAAACTTGCTTTCTCTACTACTGGTACAGATAAATATAGATGTCACAGATGTTGAAAAAGATGCTGGTGAACTTGCTGCACTTTTGGTCCCACAGCATGATCTTGCCTGTGTGATGGAGATGATCAGGACCTGGG